TTCTTTCTAAGCTTTCTTTGATTTGAATGTCTATCTTGGAGGTAACTTGGATGTCACAGGGTTATTTTTTTTGACAGAATTGCATATTGAATACCGGTACCATGTGTCACAACATAGATGTGTTTGGTACGTCCATGTTCGTGATGATTGGTTCTTTAAATTTGCATTCCCGCTTATGAAACATCACTCCTAGAACAAGGAAAAAACATTAAATGTGTTAAAATGACGCAGGTTTAGCTAAACAAAATGTTAGATGTCCACACTTTCCACTCATTTCATTTTGAGAGTACTGGAGGGTCTTATCCCTAAGACAAACATACCAACAATGTAACTGACCTTCAGGGACAAACAAAGCCCCCTAACTCAGTGAGTCTATGCAAATGTAGCTTAATTTGAGGCATACTTATATTTTTATTCCGCACTTAATTTCTCATTATACCCAACAACATTTGATGGTGTATATGTTGATCACAGAATAGTACCACATAGATTTTGCAAACTGGGAATGCAATTTCATTAATGATTTCAGTATCATCTGCACTTGCATTTAATCAGCGAAGCACCAAAATCAACTACTTCTGTCCTTACAGAACTGGATCTTACGTGTACATATCAGGATTTCATTCAAACTCATAAGAACACTCCATGAGCCAAAGTGATGCCTGAATAATGCTGTATTTTAACTATTCCGAGGAGGGAATTGCTCATTTCTAAAATCCAGTGATCAACATGTCGAAAGTTTATAACTAAAAGTGTGAAATATCTACTCGTATATGATATAATACTTTATTAAAGTCTATATCTCACAGATATCATTGTGCGTATATTGATATTTATTTATTGAATATATTGTACATGTATGTTGTAGCAAGAAGATGGACTAGTGGAATATTTTGAGTCAATTGTTCAAGAAAAAAGTCGAAATGCCAAGACTGTAGCTGATTGGATTATAACTGTTTTCTTGAAAGAACTAAATGCACATGGCATGACATTAAAAGACAGGTATAGTAATCATTTTCACAATACAAATATATTCTCTATTTGTAATGCCAATTCTAATACATTTTATACATGTTCTAAATAATTATTCATGCTTAATTAGGCGGTCAAAATAATTGATCTATGATTCAGACATGCTTTAAAAGTTACTAAGAATGCTACTATGATAATCTGTACATTGTCTGAAAGCTTTCTGATATCTCAAGAACTACTTATCATATTTAAATTAAACTTGATGGGAATATGTAGGGACTCTAGGATAGATCACAGACTGCAAACTACAGATATGCATTCACATTCTTTAGTATTTCGGTTAGAATTACTGTGAAAAGATTTCTATCACATTGTGCATCTCTAAGAGCAAAGGTATATTAACCGACAATCTACTTGTTTAAAGAGGCTCAATTTAAATTATTAATTTTAAATGTTCTTTATTAGTCCCCGTTCGGACGAAGTCCGAAAACGGGGACTTATAATTCGGTCTCCGTCCATCCGTGCGTTCGTCCGGAGTCATATCTCAGAATCCCTTGGTCTGATTCCGTTCATTCTTTGCATGTGCCTAGTACTTTATGTTGGACATATGCACATGCAGTGGTTTAACGATTCGGTTCAAAATGGCCGACTGGCAGCCATCTTGTTTTTTGAAAATGTCGTATTTTGTACATGCTTCGTCAGTTTTCATTCAAATTTAGTACATAGATCATACATGTTAGGATACATGTCCCCGACCGTCCATGAGTTCCTGAGTCTGTCCGTCCGTCCATGCATCAGTCTGTCCAGAATCATATTTTAGAATCCTGTGGGCCGATTCCGTTCATTCTTTGCATGTGCCTAGTATCTTATGTGGGACATATGCACATGCAGTGGTTTAGCGATTCGATTCAAAATGGCCGACTGGCAGCCATCTTGTTTTTTGAAAATGTTGTATTTTGGACATGCTTTGTCAGTTGTCATTTAAACTTAGATTATACATGTTAGGATAGATTATACATGTTAGGATACATGTCCATGACGATTTATTTCGCAATTGGATCAAAGATGGTCGACTGGCAGGCATCTTGTTTTTGTTTTTTATGCGGTATCTTGGATGTGCTCTGTCAGTTTTCATTCAAATTTGGCACATACAGGTACTTTATACATGTTAGGATGCATGTTCATGACAATTTGTTTCAAAATCTGGTCAAGGATGGCCGATTGACAGCCATCTGACTTTTTGGCCTTACTACTATTATATTTCCACAATTTATGTACCATTTTTACCTTGCCCGTACCATCAAAGATGGAAGGGAAAGGTATATTAAGGGAAAAATTGTGTCCGGCGTTGTCGTCGTCGTTGTTGTTGTCGTCGTCGTCGTTAATAATTGTTATTGTGTGCATGATAACTTTACTAATTCTATTCCAAACTTCATCAAACTTGGTCACCTTGTTCATCAGTATAAAGTCTTCCCTGAGTTTGAACAACAGATGTCCTGTATGAAAATATCATGCAAAAATTGAGAAAAACTGATAAAATATTTTGACTGTTTCTACTTGACTGATCACTGGTGATACACATCAAAGGTCACTGATCTCAGTGGAAATATGCTTTGTTGTATGTGTTCAATAAAGCAAATGATTTATCTTGTAATAATATCCTTGGTAATGTATCTCAGAATCCCTTACTGGTGTTTCAAAACCAACTCATGGAGAGATTAGATTGCACAGTCTGATACACATTTGCAAACCTACCAATAAATCTTTACAGAAAACAAGATGTCAGAAAATCAATATAAGCACTGCTATGAACTGGGTGCCAAACTTTGATCAAGATCTGAAGCTAATAGAAAATCTGTTTAGTTCAAAGTTATCAAATCAAAAACA